TAACACTTCCCTTACAGATTGTCTTAGGGGTAAATTCACCATCAGTTTGTCAACATTTAGAGTTTTTTCATTTCTTGGTAAAATGTACTTTAAGTTATTTTTTGTTTAGAAGTAGCTTTTTATCCATACATGCACTGCATATGAGAAGCTTGGAAGCACTTAGGCCTTAAAACTTTTGGTTGGTTTTTAAAAAGTAAAGAATGCCTATATTGGATCATATATTACCAGGCAATAAATACAGTGAGAAGTTAGTGTATGTTAAATTCACTTTTAAAAAAAGGTGATGGGGGAGCACATAGAAAATCTTCCAATTGATACAATTGGGAAAGAATTTAGTAACACAAACTAAAGGGAAATACATGAGGAGTCTGTTGTTTATTAAGATGCTGCATGCAGCAAAGATCAGGATATTAAAGCTGTCAGTACTAAAACTAAAACCAAAACATTTTATCTAAATGAATTTGAAATTCACTTTACATTCATTATTTTCATCACAGGTATCTGTGCTGTGACAAAGTAGGTTTTCCACATTTTTTCATTTCATCAGGTCTGATGGGAACATTGCACAGGTTTTCAGCCCCACCTAGTTCTGTCAAACGTACTAGTAAAAGCAAAGGACAGAGTGTTTTCCATTAATAATGAATTTCCAAATATCATTTAAGTTAAGAAACACCGAGAGAGAAACACTGTCAACACAACAATAACTAAACACATTGACTGTGGCAGCCTTCACTAACAGTGGTTAGCAGATGATCTCACAAAGAGTAATTGTGAGCGCTGGTCTTATGTCGTATGTCACACACAGGTGTCGCCAATGCGTGTCACGTCACAGAAATGACCGTTTGGACTCTGCAAGAGAGCATCAAACATGGGACATTGAAAGGTAGAAGAAAGTTTTATTCTCTGATGAGTAAACATTTAACCTTGATGGTCCTGATGGCTTCAAACTTTACTGGCATGACAAACAGATTCCACCTGAGATGTTTTCTAATTACCACAGTGGACAGGGCACCATAATGGTCTGGGGTGCTTTTTCCTTCAGTGGAACAATGGGACTTCAGGATGTGCAGGGGCGTCAAACGGCCGCTGAGGACCTGTTCCCCATCCTCTTGTTATCCCTGTGTGTATTTAAGCCCTGTGTTTTTCTTGGTCTGTGTTGTGATCTCCCTCATGCCATACTGTGTGTTCTGCCACACAGTAATTTGTTTAGCTTTGCGTGTTTCCAGCAATAAAGTTGTTTTGAGTGCACTTTTCACCTCCTGGAGTCTGCACATTGGGTCTCCCCTACCTGCCTGCCGCACACAGTGCATGACAATTGGATCCTTCGGCTCAGTGCTGGTGAAATTTTTGTGGGTCTTCCACTTGACTTTTTCTCTGTCATAACTCTCATGGTCATTTAAGAAATTCAAAATGACTGTCTTACTTTGTGCCCCCTCAGCAGCAATGGCACACTGCGAGAGACCGTACCTATGCAGTTCAACAACCTGACCACAAAGGGCCTTTGCCATTAGAACATCATAAAAGTGACTACCTGAAAGATAATGACAATGAATTCACATTTTTACATTTAAAGGCATGTGGTCCTAAACTTTGGATCAACTGTAAAACTACCTGTTTCAGTTGTTTTTTTTTTAATGCTCAAATGTTTTGTCTCACTCCCATTTCTTCTTGTTGTAAGTTGAAGCTCTACTTGAAGCCTTGTTAAGATCCATCCATCCATCCATCCATCTTCATCCGCTTTATCCGGGGCCGGGCCGCGGGGGCAGCAGCCTAAGCAAAGAGGCCCAGACCTCCCTCTCCCCAGCCACCTCCTCCAGCTCATCCGGGGGAACACCAAGGCGTTCCCAGGCCAGCCGAG